CCAGAGGTCTGCCTATGTCATGGAGGATGTGATGCTACGATTGGTTAGTCCAGAGATACAAGCCTGGTCCTGGAGCCCCAACCAAACGATGGGGAGTGGGGGGAGAAGTGGTTCCCCAGGGAAAGATGTAGCCCATACCAGACCTGGAGGGTGCTGAAGGGCCAACCACAGCCATTGTCCACAACAGAAAACAGGAAAACCACTGGCGCTGTCTCAAACAATTTTTGTTAGACTTGCTGTCAGATTTCTTTTTGGAAACAGCCAATTTCTTTTAGCCCTCGAGCACATGTAATTGACAGGGCTGAAGTGTGAAATGCAGTATGATCATTTTATTTCACTTGGCGCTCTCTATATAATTTATCTAGCTTTTAAAGCAAAGAATGTGGAGCCTGGTCCTTCCCCCAGTGTGTCTTCCAATGAACCACATGATGGACTCGAGAGGAGGTACTCAGCTAAGACTGGGACAACATGGAAAAGTACTTAATTGTCCAGTTTCTGAGCAAGCCCAGGGTTTCCGCTGACTAAGGTGGGTGGGAGGAAGAAAGTCCAGGATAATGGGAAACTACATAATGTATTATGTTACTCTCACTTAAATCCCCTAAATTTTAGGGAAACAATCTTCAAAAGAGTCATAAAGCCCATGAAGAGGCCACTCAAGGGGATGCTTATCTAGATAAATCGCAATATTCTTAAAGGCTGGATTTTGAATCAAAATTGAAGTGAGAGAGAGGTACAGTCTCAAAGATACAGATGCACATCTGCTAGCCTAGAAAAAGTTGATGAAAATAAACAGAATGATGTCGCCATGCCCTTGGCCGAGGCCCTGAAGTGTCCTGATCTATCATTTCTCTTAGGGGAACCGTTGATGGCAGACAGTAAAGGAGGATCCAGAGTGTTGTCTACCTTTAGAGGAGGAGAAGGACCATTTGTTAGCGTCCTCTGCAGAGGAAACATGTGGTCATTATTCCTCCACATGACCCATTCATCAGAGATTATGGGACTAATGAAACTAGACCGATGGCGAGGAGTGACTCGTCAGTGACACACAGAGAAAAGCCCAGGGTCATTATAAAGCCAGGGTATGAGTTTGAGAGGCGGGGCTGCCTCTTGGTTATAAACTCTGCCCCTGGAATTGAATAGAACTTAATTTGAGTCCTGACTTTGCCACTTCATAGCTGTTGACCGTAGGCTGGTCACTTCAACCTTTTTGATACTCATCTTTTAAATCTATAAAATGGGAATAATTGTAGTATGAATTTTGTTGAGTTGTCACAAGGGCCAAACAATGATTAACAACCCTTACCACCCGCTTGCCCTCGAATCGTGTGACTTGTATGTTTCCTTTGCACACTGCTCAGCCTGGAGCCCAGGAAGACTGCTGGTGCTCCAGCCAGGAACTTGTCAGTTGAAAGTGACAGAATCCCCGAACAAGCTTAAACAAGAAATTATGAGCCATTACAAGTGAAAAGTATATGGATCGTGTGGATTTCAGGCAAAATCCAGGGGCTCAAATCAGGACATTAACACAGTCTCTGCAGCTCTTGACTCCGTTCCCCTCTATGTTGGGTCCCTTTTCAGGCAGAGTCTCGCTTCATGGTGGCAAAGTGGCTACCCGTAGGTTTAGGCACATTTCCTTTCTTCTCCACAATTCCAGCGACTAGAGAACTTCCTTCCCAAGTGTCCTAGCAAAAGGTCTGAGGTTGGCTCTGGTTCATCCAACCTGGCCCAGCCCTGAACCAATCACTGTGGCCAAGTGGATGGGATCTATCGATTGGCCAGATCTCAGTCACACGCGTGCCTTGGAGTCCCGAACCCACCTGACCACATGGACAAATGGTGCGTGAGTCCTCAAAGGAGAAGCCAAGTGCTGTGACCAGGAGACAGGGAGTGGATGCTGAGTGGGAGACAATAATAACCAGTGTGTCCCACAGTGGCTTTCCAAGTTACGGGTAACAAATCAATCAGTGCAGCATTAAGTGGACAACTGGTCCACCAGAAACAGGAGGGCGCTGACAGTGTTGATTCCCAGCCCATTCCTGATTCCCCCAGTGTGTCTTCCTCCCCACACACAACCAGGTGGGTCCCACCACTAGAGGACCAGAACCAAACCCTCGGGTTCCCAAGGCAGCACCAGCCATGTGGAGAGGCACCTCCCTGGGTCCGCTGTCTCTTTTCCCTACTCACTACAGTAAAAGCCATCAGAAATCATCCCTGATTTGGAGTTTCGAAGTTCCTCTGTCCCTTCAATTGGCCAAATGGTCGCATATGTATTTTATTCATTTCCACAGACTTTTTTTCTAAGAGCTATTTTCAAGAACGATGAGACTCCCCATTTGCCGTGCAAGCAGTTCTCTGGTGCAGTCTGTCCACTGTCCTCTGCCTAAGGGACTCGGCAGTCAGCATGCTCTCCTCCTGGTCCTCCCCCCCTTGTGCCCCCTTCCTCTCTCTCCTCTCCCCTCCATCTTCCCCCTCCTACGTGTCTGGCTTAGTGCTCTCTACTCTTTCAATCCGAGCTTTCCGTAACTTCAGTTATAGGCAAACCAGCTTTGTGATTTTTATGCTATATGTGTTTTACCACAATAAAAAAAAAGTGGGGGGAAAAGCTGAGATGGATTCTGTGGCCTCCCCAAGGCTCTATGCCTATGGTATGTTCTCTCTCAGCACAAAAAAGGGAGGTTGTTAGAGAGTTGCTAAAGACACCAATCGAGGGGTCCTCGTGGGCGTCGTCAGAAGGACTGAAGGAGAGTAGAAAAGGGAAGACCTTTCTCCCCTGGGAGTGGGTGCTGTTGACTGCCTTGGAGGTGCCACCTCCAACCAGGGTGCCCAGGTTGCTGTGAGGACCAATTAAAATTCTGCCTTCTCTGATCATCGAGCTGACCACATTCTCTCCTTGTCTCGGCTCTGTGTGGTTGGTGTCTCCTGGTCTTAGCACCCTGTATCCTTGGTTATCTTTGGGCTTCCTTCTCTCAACCTGATCAGAAGCCTCCGAGGGCAAGGCCAGCCCCATGTTGGTATTTCGCAGCTACGGGTGCCTGATAGGCTCATCCAGGGTGTGTTGGTTTTGGTTCAAGCTTCGGAAGGCAGTAGATCCAGTGAGTGGTCTCAGCAGTGCTGACATTGCAATGTGTCTGAACATACCAGGACACTGCCTTCTACCTGTTTTCTCTTTTTTAGCTGATTAGTGTATTTTCTCTTTTTCCAGCCATCCTCCAATAATATTTTATTTTGCAGATGATGGATATTTTAATTCCGAGGAAATAGATAATAATGAAGTGATGCAACTCCTAGCCCGGCGGGAACAGAGGATGATCCTAGTCTTGGGTTTTCCTAACTTTCAAAACATGGAACACAAAAAATAAAGCAGAAGTCCCCTACAGAGCATTTGTCTTTATTGATGGCCAGTGACCCTAAAAGATGGCGTCTTTTGCTCTCCACCTCTAGACTTGGATTCAAGGACTGGGCAGAATGGATGGGGAATTGCAGGGGGGAATTGAGTACTATTTTAGTTACAATGGCTTGGCAACAAATTACCCAGAATTGTGTAAAGTGACCATTTATTATGCCCTTGGGCTCTGTGGGTCAGGATTTAGATAGGGCACAGGGGCACAGCTAGCCCTCAGCTGGAAGTCTTCAAGGCTGGGGGCTCCAGTCATCTGGCGCTCATTTAGTCACATTTCAGCGGTTGGCACTGGCTACTGGCTTTGAGGCCTCAGCTTTTCTCCATGTAGGTTTCCCCATGTGCTCTCTCCATGTGGGCTCGTGTGGGCTTCCTCCCAGCATGGTAGCTGTGTCCAGAGGACAAGTGTCCCGAGAGAGAGCCAGGTGGAAGTGTAGCACCTTTTATGACTTCACCTCAGAAGTCATTTGTCACTTCTGCTGTGCTGTTTTTTAGAAGTGGGCAATTTAGGCTAAAGGGGTGGGGGTGGAAGTCAGCCTCACCTTTCATGGGAGGCGTGTCACAAGTCCCCTGAGACACGAGGAACAACTCCAGGGCTTCGGACCTATTTCTCTTCCTCCACAAGGCCTGGGACCCCCCGCCAAGCTCGGCTTCCCAGGGAAGGCCACCTCCAATCCAACCCAAGCCGATGGGGTGGGCAGAGGCCAGGAGGGAACTGTCTGATGACATTGGAGCACCTCCTCCCTTGTCGTCCTTCCCTCTGGTCAGGGAGCTCTGGTCAGGGAGGGGCTGTAAGGGCGCCTGTGCGTCTTCCGAGGTCAGTAGTCCAGGGCCTCGTCCATGGGAAGCATTTATTCATTCACCCACAAATGTTTCTTGGCTACTTCCTATGTGCCCAGGCACTGCTCTCTGTACAGATGGCCTTGATAAAGAACAAAAGAGACCAGCCCTCGTCTTCTGGGCGGGCTCCCTGCAGAAGACAGATCCCAGGTGAGCTGGGAAAGCCGCCTGCATGTAGACTCAGAGGACCATGAAGCAAATACAGGGAGAGACCAGAGGCCTTGCCTTGGGAGAGGAACCTGCCTCTCACGGAAGCCACCCCTCTGTGCAAGGGACTCCAAGCAAGTCCCCAGGAAACCCCAGGACCGCTAACCCTGCTTCTTGGTTGACTTTGCTCCTGGGCCACGGCCCACACCCACTGACTCTAAGCTCCTGGGAGAGGCAGGGAGACAAGCCAGTGCCTTGAGTCACGAGTGTAGAGTATAGAGTGTAAAGTACGCCCCGGGCCTTGGCAGGCGGGTCTTAAGGGTAAGGTGTCATTAGGTGAACACTGAGAAAGGTTGCTTTCCCTTAGCCCCTGAGATGAAAGGTAGCAGCCGATCTGCGCTGCCCCTTATCTCTCCTATTGCTCCGGGGGTGGGGGCTACCGGTCCTGGGGCAGCAAAGCAGCGAGTGGGGGTGTGAGTGCCTGCGTGTGCGTGTGTGTGCGCTTGTGAATGTGTGTGCGTGTGCGCGCGCGCGCGCTCGCGCGCGTGGCCTCTCTGCAGCTGTCCCTGCTCCCACCCCACCCCACACCCCACCCCACCGCACCGGGCCAGCGTGCCTCCCCCGCCCCGCTGTGCTGGGTGCGCCGCAGGCTGCTGCTCTCTGGGCCTGCTCCCCCCTCGCCTGCGAGGCGACCCTCGGTGCGCCCCGGGTTCAAAGGCCCCGCGCTACAGCTCCAGCCCCTCCGGGGGGCGGGGAGGCGAAGGGGGTGGTGCGGGAGCCAGAAAAGCTGGAGCCCACAGCCGGCCAGCCCTGCGCAGGGATGGGCAGCTTGCTCTGAAGTTTGTGACCGCCGCAGCCAACTCCTGGACGGAGCCGGGACGCAGCGAGCTAGCTGCCGGCCTCGAACCCCCACAGCTGGAGGACGAGGCCCGCTGTGTCCTGCTCGAGCGCCCTTCCGCAGCCACAGGCGTCTGTCCTCCTGGCCCGGTGCTCCCACGCCTGATCGGGGTTCATGGAGCTGGGGCTGTGGCTCCTTTTCGGGTTCACAGTAACCTCCGCCGCAGGTAAGCCAGCGGGCAGCGCGCCTCTCCTGGCGGGAGCTCACACAAAAGGACCCTGGGGTGGGGGGTGGGGGGAGCGCGGGGAAGGGTGCCTTGCGGGGAGCAGCCTGTTGCCTGGGCTCGCCACCTCCTGGGGGGGCAGACTGGCCGCAGGGATTACCCCAGGGGCCCTGGAGGTTGCAACCCACTCGCAGACGAGAGACCTGCAGCCCCGACCAGCTTGGTCAATTTTTCCTGAAGTTGGGACCTTTTCAAAAAGTTTGCAAACTCCTCAGAAACTGTGTAAAATGCTTGCAAAGTTTTGAGAAAGCGTGCAGAAATGCTTGCAAGTTTCCAACGGGTGCAAATAGCTTGCAGACCTTGCAGAAAATGAAAATAGTTTGCAAGCTTTCCACCAAGTATGCACATAGCTTTGCAAACTTTCCAGAAACTGGGCATGTAGCTTTTGTAAACTTTTCAGAACAGTTGGCATAACTTGGAGACTTTACAGAAAGTGCACCTAGCTTGCAAATTTTGCAGAAAGTTTGATGGTCCCCCTCTCCCACGTTTTGGGGATGGTGGGTGTCACGAGCAGGCACACCCAGGAGCTCAGGAACCCCTCAATCTGCCTCCTGCAGGATTGGTGCCTCGCCCCCAGCCTGGAGATGCTGGCAGGAGCGGGGTACCCCGGGCCGCCCCTGCAGCCGGATCTGAGGGGGACATTGAGGAGACTGTGGCCGCGAAAGCAGCACAAGATCCAAGCCCCGGAAGCCCTGGGCAGGAGCAGGCGGCCGAGGGGGCCCCTGTGCGCGGCCGAGCCCGGCGCTGCACATGCTTCACCTACAAGGACAAGGAGTGCGTCTACTACTGTCACCTGGACATAATTTGGATCAATACCCCCGAGTGAGTGAGCCCCTGGTGGGGACAGGCCTGAGGGGTGCGCTTCCCACTCCCACAGGACTTGGTCCCACCCAGAGCCTGCCCTGACACAGCGTTGGGCTCTTGCTGGGTCTCCTGCCAGCCCAGGTCCCCTCTACAGGTCGGGGTGTGATCCCCATCCCCTTGGAGGGCCTTGCCCTGGAGAAACTCAATCCCAGAGCTCCTGATCCAGTGAAACGGGGCCCTCCCTGCAAGCGAAATGATCCGGCCAGAGGGATTAGATACCTGAGAAGTCCCTCTGAGATGGAGGAAGCCCCAAAAGCTATCTCCTGCCCCAGGGGCTAAGTGGGCCTTCCCCGTTCCTGACCCTGCCAGGGTCCAAGGAGTTTCAAATTCCTTGAAAGCAACCTGCTCTCCAGGGAGCGCTGGGGTGGGCTTCGCGGGGCCTGGCGGAACCTGCCCATCAGGCTGAGATTCCACGGGCCCCAGGCGCCTTTCCTCCCAGGGGTTGGCCCCTGTCGCCCACTGTCACCCAGCGCCACCACCACACATGGCCTCCCCTTCTCCTCTCCAGTCCCTAAGAACTGTCTCGGGCTGCCTGAGTTTGTCCTGCCCCCCCCCCTTGCTGTAAATCCTACCCTCCCCTGATGCCATGGAGCGGGTGCTGTGCTGTGGGAGGGGCTGCTGGCTTCCTGGTCCACGTCCTTACTTTAGGAACCCCTGTGCGAAAGCACCGTCCTGCAAGCAGCAAAGAGGCCTCGACCTTGCTGGTCACCAGCCATGTGGCCTCTGCTTCCCGACCTCTAAAATCTGGGACTTGGACCAGACGTCTCGGCGTTCTGCCTCCCTGGGTGTTCTTGGGGTCTCCTGGGACTCCCAGCGCCCTGCTGGGTCTACTGATTGAGGAACTGGTGTGAATGGGAGTCCTGGGCTTGGAAAAGCAACTCTGTCACTGTGTTGGGAGCCACCTTAATTTGTGTCCCTCATGGTTTCCTCCATCCCCAAGCCAGTTGACCTCTGGGCACGCTGGGTGACAGCTTTGATGGGCTCACTTCCTGCCTTGTTCCATGGACAACCTGGAGAATTAAGGGCAAAGCAGGGTAAAAGGAGGGGTCGAATGTCTTTCAAACCAGGTGACAAGACCTGTAACCACATGTGGGATGGATCTGGAAAGTCACCCATTATGCCAGAATGGCAGACAGGGCGGCTTCACCCGGCAACCTGGGCCCAGGGTCAAGGGCTCAGAAGAGTCCTTACTTGGTTTGCTTCTCTGTTGTCGCCATCTTAAGAGTCTTCATACTTTTTGAACCAGTCTCCACGTTTGCATTTTATCCTGGGCCCCACAAGGTACGTAGCTGACACTGATGGCAGAATTGACTTGTCGGGCTGTGTGTGGTCAAGCTCGTCTACACAGTCAGCCCTTCGTGGGGAAGATAGAGTGATGTGTGGTCGGGGGCGGGGGGTGCTCCTGGACAGGTCTGCCACCGATTGGGTGCCTCCGCCTCAGACAATGATCAGGGTCACCTTTTCTTACAGCCCCCATCACCCCGACACTTGCCCCGATTCTTATCCTCCTGGCGTTGTGATCTGACCAAACGCAGGACTCAGGGAGGCCAGCAGCAGGGCTGAGTCCTGGCCTGGCAAGAATCCCAGGCTGTGGATCAAAAGGAGAAAGAAGAAAGCAGCCAAATTAGGGGCAGGGGGCTGGGGGCAGAGGAGGGCAGGACGGGAGGAAGGAGAGGGTTTGGACACCACCTCAGTTCTCTGCCCGTTCCCAAGCCCCCAGCACAGGCCGGGGAAGCGGTTGTTTGAAATGCCTCCGAGAGGCCAAGCAAACACCCTGCGGTCTGTTTGAAATCCTGTCTCATAATTCCGAGTTGTCTTGTATGGCCCGAGATGAAGCCATGGATCTTTGACTTTTTCTAGGACAGCCAACTTGCTAACCTTCTTCTCACAGTTTGATTTACCTCTTCCTTTCTTTCCTGACCCAGATTCTTTTTAAACACTAGGAAAAAACGATTAAATATGGTGTTTGGGAGTCCCGTGAACTCCTCAGGAAACAAAAATGACAATAGCCAGACTTGAGCGTTTTGAAGTTAGACAAGGAAAATAATTTCTAAGAGGGAGCTGCTTCCGGATGGTCTGTCTTTCTCTTTCTTCCCTCCTCCTCCTCTCCCTCTTTCATTTCTCCTCTTCCTAAAACTCTCTGGTGATAGGTAGACAGGTCCATTTGCTATCTTCCGAACATCTCAGACAAAGTTGCAATGTGAGAAAAATGGGCTGTGGGGACAGGGAACATAGGCCTTTGGAGAAATGAAAGCGTCTGAAAAATGACTGAATTGCGCTAAAGGGACAACAGAAGTGTGTAACGAGGTCTTTTCCAGGTACCGTCACAGCCCCACCTCTTGAGTGTTTCCTGCTGTCTCTCATCTGTGACCCCCTCTTCCGTCAGCAGACCCTCCTGGTCTCTCGAAACTTCCCCATGCTGGGATTTGCTCCCAGGCCCTGCTGCTGCCTGCCTGGGAGCCCACAGAGCCTTGATCCTCATGCCTACACCAAGAATGTTGAACTTGGGGTGGTTTTCAGGGTTTGGTATCTTTCCTCCTACTGCCCACTCAGTTGCACGGAGATGGACTCAACGATCTACTTTGGGAGAACATTTGCAAGGTTGCGGGCATTCTGTGAGTGCGGCCAGTTTATGCCACAGTTAAAAACCTAAAAGCTGCAGGAGGAATGTTGGGAGTTTCTGCTGCCATCGGTCCCGCACTGTTGTGGGAAGTTAGCGGCTAGTTCAGGTGCGAGAGACCAGTGACTCCCTGGAGCCATCCTCCGGGGATGAGACCTGAGCTTCCCCGGTTCTCCCATGTTCTTCCCCGTGCTTAGCTCTTCTGGACCTGCGCGTGGCCAGCCCATTCTGCCGGCACACAGCACACAGCAGAGCCCCGCCACGCTGGCTGGCTTCTGGCTACGCCCTGCCGCCTGCTGATGGTCCCCTGTTTTTGCTGTCACTGAGGTTCTAGTCTGCAAGGCCTTCTCCCACAAGCGAGGCTGTTGCTCCAGGGTGCGTGGATGCTTTCCACAGGCCCACACACCCTGCAGACGGCCGTGGAAGTGTGGATTTCTCTGTGCACATGGCCCATGACTTCCACTATAACCTCCAGGAAGTCCATGTCCCCAAAGAGGACGCAAATGTGTCCTGGCTGTCTGCAATCCTTGCCCCGGTGGAGGTGGCTGAGATCACAGCGAGTCCATAGGACCGTGAGATTTTCATGACTTTCCTTGGCCGTGTTAGGGAGCCCTCATCCCCAGCTCCCCCAAACAACCCACCATTGCCAACATAAAACAAAAACAAAACCCCACAGCAATGAAAAACACATCCCATCTCACGGTCATGGAAAATTGGCTGAGACTAAAATAATAAGGGGAGAAGTAGAGAACAAGCAGTCTGCTTGGACACGTGGGGCTGCTCTCCATGGGGACGCTTAAAAACCAGATGTGTCCTGTGACCAGGTGGGGATTTGTGTTAGTCAGGGCCTCCAGAGGGACAGAACCAACGAGACCCGTGTGTGTGCGTGTGTGTAGATACGCCTGTCTGTACAAATACACACACGAGCTGAGGTTGCAGCCTTGAATCTACAGGCATCCTGGAGGCAGAATTCCCTCCTCTTCAGGGTGACCTCAGTCTTTTCTGTGAAGACCTTCAACTGATTAGATGAAGCCCACCCACATGATGGAGGGCAATCTGCTGATGTAAATAGTAATCGCGTCTAAAACATTTTCCCAGCTACAGCTGTTTGAGCAGATATCTGGGTAGCATGGCCTAGACAAGTGGACATATACAGTTAACCCCACGGGGCTGTCCGTACCCCACAGGGGGCTAGTCCTTCCATGCCTGCCACCATACACCTGACTGGAGAGTTAAGCCAGCCCATCAAATGGCCCAGAGAGCTGCAGGACACCCAGAGGGCCCTCCTGTCTTCCTCTCCACTTTGTTCCCAAGAATTGAGGGAACCTGCCATCTGTTAATCCCTCTCAGGACATAAGAGAGAAGTATTGTGACACTGTGATGGTGACCATGTTTCCCATATAGGCTGACAAGTAGGAATGGATTTATGAAAAGAGCAGTGCAGGGTCATGACGACGCTAGACCATCCGGGCTCTGTAACTCCTCCTCATGGGAAGACCCCAGACCCAGGAGCTCTGATTTGTCATGTGGCCTGAGGGTGGTGCCTCTCTCTCTGTGTCTACATGTAAGGCGCAGACATCAGCCCAACTCTAGGACAGCAGACAACCTGCCCACCCCGAAACATGCCACGCTGACTCAACCAGTAGGAACGACATTCGTTTAGAGTTCTTTTCCTCCTCAAAGGAGTAGAGTGAAAATAATAATTGTGACAATGGTTAACAAAAACATTTGAACTTGCATTTAAGACAACAATTCAACAGATTCACCTCTGCCTCCTGTGTTGTTCAAGAAAGGCGTGCCAGCATGTCTCCGAGAAGGGACCCTCGAAATCGTAGGACCTCTCAGTGGAATGGATGGATGTGGTACCCTAGCCTCCTGCCACCGTGGGATCAGCTGTCCACCCAGCGTATGATTTCAGGGACCCCAGGAACAGGCACCCGACCTGTGAGCCAGGATGGGGACTGTTGTTGCTGGAGATGCAGATAGGGAGACAGAGGGACACTTTTCTGGTAGTCATGGCGATGCAGATGATGGTGATGGTGGCAGCACTGATGCTGGCTGTGATGCCTATGAGTAAAGCTATGTGAGGATGACACAAGAAAGCCCCTGGGACATGCTCCGACAGTGGCTGGAATCTGGTGAACACTCAACACCATGAAGACATAGCCATAAAGATAAGTACACAACCCCCGGGCCAGGGCCATCCCCCTCCTGCTGTATCCAGTTCTGTGGTTGGAGGGTGCTGTGGGTAGAAAGTTTTTCCTCGAGCACTGCTGAGGTCGGCCTCCTTGGACTGTCCAGCCCTGGTCTGGCCCAGCCTCCTGGAGTCACACCGAGC